GAAATAAAAGGCATCTAAATTGGAAAGGAGGAAGTCAAACTGTCCCTGTTCACAGACAACATGATCTTGCATATAGAAAACCCTAAAGATTCCACCAAAAAACTGTTAGAGCTAATAAACAAATTCAGTAAAGTTTTACGATACAAAGTCAACATAAAAGAATCAGTAGCATTTTTATACACTAATAGCAAACTATCTGAAAAAATAAATCAAGAACACAATTCCTTTTATGATGACTGCAAAAAAATTTTTAAATACCTAGACATAAACTTAACCACGGAGGTGAAAGACCTCTACCATGAAAACTATAAAATTATGAAAAAGAAATTGAAGAGGACATAAATAAATAGAAAGATACGCTACATTCATGGATTGGAAGAATTAATATAGTTAAAATGGCTATTCTAACCAAAATCATCTACAGATTTAGCACTATCTCTATCAAAATGCCAATGAAATTCTTTACAGAAATAGAGAAAACAATTCTAATACTCATATGGAACAGAAAAGACCCCAAATAGCAATCCTGAGCCAAAGTAATAAAGCCAGAGGCATTACACTACCTGACTTCAAAATATACTACAAAGCTTTAGCAACCAAAATAGCCTCTTGGTTATTTTAGTGACCAAAATAGCATGGTACTAGCATAAAAACAGACACACAGATCAATGGAATGGAATAGAAAAGCCCAGAAATATACCGACGTACTTATAGCCAACTGATTTTCTCCAAAGGTGCTAAGAACATACACTAGGAAAAGGACAGCCTCTTCAATAAATGGTGCTGAGAAAACTGGATATTAAGGTGTAGAAGGATGAAACTAGTCTTCTGTCTCTCGCTATACACCAAAATCCACTCAAAATAGATTAAAGACTTAAAGATAAGACCTAAAACTATAAAACGCCTAGAAGAAAACACAGGGGAGGCACTTCAGGATGTAGGACTGAGCAAAGATGTTATGAATAAGACCTCAAAAGCACCAGCAACAAAAGAAAAACTAAACAAATAAGACTATATCAACCTAAAAAGCTTATGCACAGCAAAGGAAAGAATCAACAGAGTGAAAAGACAACATACAGAAGGGGAGAAAATATTTGCAAATTATGCATCTGACAAGGGATTAATATTCAAAATATACAAGAAATGCAAACAACTTTATAGCAAAGAAAAATCCAATTAAAAAATGGGCAAAGGAGCTGAACAGACATTTCTCAAAAATAGACATACAGCCAGCCAACAATATATGAAAAAATGCTCAACATCACTAATCATCAGGGAAATGCAAGTCAAAACCACTATATCATCTCACTCCAGTTAGACTGGCTATTATCAAAAAGACAGAAATTAATAAAATGCTGGTGAGTATGCGGACAACGGGGAACGAACCTTCATACACTGTTGGTGGGACTCTAAATTAGTACAGCCACTATGAAAATCAGTATGGAGGTTTCTGAAACAACTACATACTGAACTACCATATAATCCAGCAATCCCACTACAGAGTATATACCCAAATGAATGGAAATCATCATGTCCAAGGAATACCTGCACTCTCATGTTTATTGCAGCTCTATTTGCAATAGGCAAGATATAGATCTAACTGAAACATCCATCAACAGACAATTGGATAAAGAAAACATGGTATATATACACAATGGAACACTACTGAGCCATTAAAAAGAATGAAATTCTGCCATTCACAGCATATATGAGCTTGGAGAAAATTGTGTTAAGTGAAATAAGCCAGGCACAGAAAGAGAAATACTGCATGTTCTCATTCATAAATGGGAGCTAAAAATAAATAAAACAAGACAGACAGACAATAGTAAGTTGAACTTTCAGAGGGAGAGAACAGAACTCTGGTTACTAGAGATGAGAAAGGGGAGGGGAACGGGATAGTGAGATACTGGTTAATGAACACAAAACAGCTAGTTTGACATGTGGGTCAAATCTGCCCCACCACCTGTTTTTATAAATAAAGTTTCATTAAAACACATGCATGCTTATTTGTTCATGTACTTACTGTCTTGCTGCATTTACACTACTCCTATTCATTTATAAAATGCATATCTACATATATGAATATTTTGAAAAACTCCGTATACCTAAACAAAATTATGAACACATGCATGCTTATTTGTTCATGTACTTACTGTCTTGCTGCATTTACACTACTCCTATTTATTTATAAAATGCATATCTACATATATGAATATTTTGAAAAACTCCGTATACCTAAACAAAATTATGAGATCACGCAAATATTAGTTTCAAATGTTTCTCTCTCTCTTCATATACCTGGGACTGGAATTCTAATGGCATCTAAAAGACAATGTTTCTTTTTGGTAATCTGTATGTTGCCAATGTTTCCTTTTTTCTTTATCCCTTCCAAAATTCTCTTCTGGCTTTTTATGTTTTAAATCTAACATCAAAAAGCCTATATTTTCAGTTGCAATTTACTTCTTTATTCAATCTCTTTCCCCTCTACTATGTTACAACTTCCAGCAAGAATACTGTACAATCCAGTAACACAAAAACAATACTTAGCAGTCAGCACTAACCATGGTTCTGGCTGCTTCTTTGAAGGAAGTAATTTATCCAAAGAACATAAAATCAGGTATGTTGTACAACCAAGCATAGGCACAATCAGTTAATGGGCCAAATTAACAGAAATATACAAACAGACAACAAACAAAGTTTTCTATAGTTGAATGAATTCCCAAGGTTGTTGAGAATGGCCTAGGCAATAAGTAGTTTCAAACTCCAAACTACAGTGGTCAAAATTACATAGGTAATAATTTTGGGAGTCAAATCTCAAAATGAACATATCTTTACTATATATTCATCATAAAATAAAAAAATAAGCAAATCAGTGATGAAAAAGTATATAAATCATAACGTTTATAATTTACTTCACAAATTTAATATTTTCTCTATCATGATAAAAATATTTTGGTTTTAAAATTTGGAAGACTATTTAGTAATGTGAATATTTCAAACCTATACAAATTTTAATAAGCTACTGCTAAACTTTTTATCATATATTAAGATCATTTTTTGTTTTGAACAAAATTCAAAACCATTCAATATTACATTTTAAAGTGTATTTCAATATAGTCTTTTAAAATTTCTTGACAACAAATGATAATTTATAAGACATAAAACAAAATGTATATGATGAAGAATAATGCCACATTGATTTATTCAGTCTTTAACTATAGAAGAAAAGCAAATGCCCTCCATGTCTCAATACAAAAATATATTTTTAAAACCATACATAACTCTCAGTTTCCTAGAATTTGGTATAAATCATCAGAAGAAAACAGAGAGTAAAGAGAATAAATAGTATATGAATCTCAAGATACCTGCGCTCTTCATATACCATAAACTATTGTTCTTCCCAGCTCCATTTCCTTTGATTTAGCTGCTAATTCCGTGATTGTGCGAATGATGACCTTCCCTGTTATACTCCCTCCCAAACTAGCCTGCTTGCCTTTGTGGACCTTCTGAATAAATTCATGGATGAAACAGAGGTGTATGTGCCTGTGAGGATACAATCTACTGCTGCTAATATCTAAGTTTCAATGCTGCTCCGGTGGTGGTGGCATTAACAGAAGGATAGTGAGAAAAGGAGTCATGTAGAAAAAGCTTCTTAATGATAAAGTCAGAGATCATTTTGGAAACATTGTCACACCAAGTAATAGACATCTTAATAAAACAGCAGGTTTTTCTCTGGCAAAGGTACATTTTCTGGGCTTAAGGATGAGTTTCCAATATGACAGGCAAGAATACAGGTAATATGAGAAGCACAGTGCTACATTCTTTCCCATCTGAGCCAGTAGCTATGGAGCCTGCTTTGGTATGAATCGGAGATATTTTTAAAATGACAACTAAAATATAAAATTAACATTGGTCTACTATATTTCAAAATGGCATACATAATTTACATTAAGTGCCTTTCAAGTTTATTATATTATACATGTCAATGTTTTATATAGGAGACAAGGCTAAATTTTTAAAAAATAAATATTGAACCAATAAATAAAGTCAGATGAAATGTTACATAACAAGGATTTTAACAGTTTATTATTCTACAGAGTTGAAGAGATATACAATATACAGAAAATTAAGTTAAATCATTTATACTTATGACTGTTCCTAAGAAGTATTCATCAGAATTACCATAGAAATATTTTCATAAACACACATAGCTGGAAGACAATGCTGATAAACAAAAGAGGTGGGAATACATATTTAAATGATTAAAAAGTTCCCTTAGGGGCCGACCCCGTGGCGCACTCGGGAGAGTGTGGCGCTGGGAGCGCAGCAACGCTCCCGCCCAGGGTTCAGATCCTATATAGGAACGGCCGGTGTGCTCACTGGCTGAGCGCGGTGCGGGCAACACCACACCAAGCCCAGGGTTCAGATCCTATATAGGAACGGCCGGTGTGCTCACTGGCTGAGCGCGGTGCGGGCGACACCACACCAAGGGTCGCGATCCCCTTACCGGTCGCGATCCCCTTACCGGTCACGATCCCCTTACCGGTCACGATCCCCTTACCGGTCGCGATCCCCTTACCGGTCACGATCCCCTTACCGGTCACGAAAAAGACAAAATAAATAAATAAATAAATAAAATAAAAAGTTCCCTTAGGAGAACATGTCTTGTGTGCCTATAAAAGGGTAACATGAGAGATCCTGTGGTGATGAAAATCTTATGTATCTTGACTGTCTTGACTATGTCCATGTCAATATCCTCACTGTGATATTGTAGTACAGTTTTTCAAGATGTTACTATAGGGGGAAACTGGGTAAAGAATATGCTCTGTATTATTCCTCACAACTGTAAGGGAACCTACAATTACCTCAAAATAAAAAGTTTAATTTTCAAAAATCAAAGTTAAAAAAAAAATTTCACTGTTTATGGTACAGAACACCACTGAAATGCTCAAATCATGTAATTATAAAACATAACCACTAGATGGAGGCAAAGTACTTACAGTTGGTGATGTAGCAGCAGATAGCAAAGGTAAAATTCCTCCACAAGCAATGATGATGTTGTCTACCATTTGGGAAATGAGGTGAATTGTGTTATGTACAAAAATAATATTTTCATTGCTATTGACAAAATCCATTACAGACTTTGTAGAATGGCTAAAGTAACAGAAAAAAAAAAACAGATATTTTAGAAATGTGAAAATTCCTTTAAACCAAAGCTGATTTAAGTTTCTTTTATATAGAATAGGCAATACCAGATTTTCGATTTTTGCTTTTTATTTATAAAAAAGAAATGTTTCTACCTTCTCCAAACATGTACATCTGTTTCTAATGCAAATAACAAATCAGTGAGAAGCCGCTGGTGCATTGGAGACCATTTAAACTCAGGAATCCGAAACATGGTAGTACGTGGACCGGGGCTGAACTGGCGCCGCTGCTCCTCAGTCATTGGCATTCCTCTAAATCCTAAATCAACTCGGAGATCTCGGTCTTGTTGGGTGACAGACCGACCCTGAACAGCCTGAAGAAAGAAATGGTGAACTTTTGTGTAGTACAAAAGAAATGCCTTATTTCAAAATAAAAACAGTGAGTAAAGAGACTATGTAAAGTTTTTTTGCATATGACTTCAGTAGGTTAATAAATTTTACATATATTATTCACCTGATAAGTCCCTGCACAGGAACTTTTTTGAGCTGAAAAGCTATTATTTCCTCTATTTTACTACTGCAGAAACTAGGAAAGGTAATCAAATACCTAAAGTTAACACTAAAGTTTACACTGAAAACCAGATCCTCTTTTAACCAGTTATGGGGTCTTTATATTTGACCACATTTCGACATTTCTTCCTTATGGAAATAAGCATATACGAGTGAAGTATACTGGATATATGCCATCAACTAACTGTAACTATAAACACATGATTGGAAGAGATATTACTTGAACAGATTCAAGTTAATTTCAAAGTCCATTTCACTCACAATACTCCAATTCAAAAAAATAGATTTGATAAGTTAGAAAACAAACCAGAAAATGCCCATGAAATCCAAATGAAAAGCAGGCAAGCCTAGTGATTATTATGTTCAATAAACAATACACTATGTTTTCTTTTATTTTAAATTTGTCCTGAATATTTAAAGTCAATATCCCCATCCCCCACCAATCATCACTGTGGTACAACTGCCACAAAAATGAAAATTGGCAGTTAGTAGAGAAATAAGTACCTTTCCTAAACAAAAAATATAATATTAAGGATTCTAATTGGAGCATAAAGACACCAGTAAGGCGTGGTTTACTCTTTATAATTTCAATGGAAACACATTATTTTCAATGACATTAAAAGGCAGTGGAAAACCCAGAGGACAACAATTGTTGTCCTAAAATTGTTAAGGATAAAAGTATTATTACGATTTCTTAAACTCTTAACCATAAGGTATTGTTTAGCCTAGAAAATAAGGAAGTAGTCATAAGTCAAAGCTCAATAATTAATATCCATATCAGAAAACATCATCTGTTTTTAACTTTACTACAGTAAGGCCAAAACTGTAGCACCAACATTTCCTAACCACCAAGGCCTAACAGTCTTCAATTTTCTCATTAAAAAAATCACTATCCACATGGTTGTAAAGAAAATTCTCACTGCTAGTAATTCCAAATTTTCTCAGCCATATTACCTACCTCACAGGCTTATTGTGAGGATTAAATCTGAAAACATATAGCACAGTGCCCGGAACACAGTAGGCACTTGATAAATAACAGTTCCCTTTCTCCTTTCCCTTCATTTATCAATCAGTTCACTCTGGGCTCCAAGTCCTCTTTTCTATAATCCACAGAACAAGGTTGGGCCTGAAGCTTAAACCTGAAAACATATAGCACAGTGCCCGGAACACAGTAGGCACTTGATAAATAACAGTTCCCTTTTCCCTTTCCCTTCATTTATCAATCAGTTCACTCTGGGCTCCAAGTCCTCTTTTCTATAATCCACAGAACAAGGTTGGGCCTGAAGCTTAAATGGTTAAAATTAATCAAATATTCAGAAGGAAAATCTCGAGCACAAAATGTGTAAATGTGGTCACAAAGTCATAAAATGTTAGAACTAGTAGAGACCTTAAAGGTCATATTTTAACCTAGTAAAACTCTTGTAGTATATAAGAAAACTTAGGCCCAGAGAGGATGAGCAAAGTTACACAGAAGAATGTGGCAGAGGTGGAAATATAATTCAGATATCTTTAATTTCTTATATATGCCACCACACTACTCAATTCCATAAATTACTATTATGCCATAATTGAATACAAACATGGTGTAATTGGTAAGAAATTACTTTGCTTTGGTACTAACAACTAAAAATCTATTCGGTGCATTTTTCTTTATTTCTAGAACTCACATAAGACAGCTTACTTGTGTGGTAGTAGTCGTCTGGATTTTTCGGATTTCCTTTCCTGATTCTTTGCCGTCGTCAGATCTCTCAGTATCTGAAATTATACTTCCTGCATCAATATTTGGTACAATTTTGCTACCAGAAGACTCAGTTTCCAGAGTTGTGGCAGTCATTTCAGCATACTCTAACCCCTTAGTTGCTGACACTAAGTCTCTTTCAGAAATATTGCTCATTCCATCTGAAGTTGTATGGATTTTGAACTCTTTTTCTTCTATTATACTTGATGTACAAGTTAAGTCTACACTACCAGTCATATGAGCAAGCAATCCAAGGTCATCACTAACGCCAAGATGTACTTGTGTGTCCTGAATATTTGGAATAATGTGATTGCTAGAAAGTTCAGGAAGAAGTTTCTCCTCCTGTTTGGGTATTTTATCAAAGAGAAATGATGTACTACTATTAGGAAGTTCTTCTTTCTCATCTGCTAATGTTATCAATGGCCCATTATCCTTTTCTTCATTTTTTTTAATGATACCAACACTTCCATGTACATTGTTTTGGAGTTTCTCAACAGCAGCACTATATACATTATCCAACAAAGATTCGACCTCCACAAGGGCACCATTCTCTCCACCTACTAAAGTCTCTGGTGATAAATCCATATCATCAAGCTTTACTTCTGTTGCTTCCACTTTCTCTGCTTTTATATCAACTAAAAGATCATGAACTTCCACATGTACACCACTTCCCGGTCTATCTGAATGTCCCAGAATATCATCTGACACTTTTGTTGACAAGAGTAAGTCTTGAGTATCTGTGCTGACAGGGTAATCTGTCTCACTTTCAGGGCTCTGGCTTTGCGAAAGATCTTCTATCTCTCGAATTTCCATTCCACCTTTTGCTCCTGTTGTCTGTGATGAAAGACCAGAGATCGTGCTCACGTTCCCTTTTTTCCCCTTTTTAATGTTCTCCTCCTCTTGTCTTTGATATTCTTCATACATTTTGGCTAGATATTCCTTATGTGCTTCATAAGTGACCTTAGAAATAAGAAAACATTAAGGCATTTTGTATACATCAAGAAAAAAAATAATAAAGATAAAATTATGGTAATAATAACAAAAATAATGCCAGGAATTTTAAGATTTCAAACTTAGCACATATTAATCCTAAAACAAGTGCTTAGTTTCATCAAGTAGTTGGAGATAATAATCAAATACAGCTACATATAATTTACTGTATGACTTGTCCAAAATCACAGTTAGGTAAACTAGCTATATTAAAAGTTCTTTCCTTTTAAGTTAAGCATTTCTATTTTACCCTATCTTAATTATGCCAGTTAACTCATACGCACCTATCTGAGCTTAAAAAGAGAACTGGCAGCTAATAATATGCGACATCTAAAGTAATATTACTACATCAGTTTTCACCATCTATTGCTTACAAGTTTATTACTTATTACTATGTGCACTTATTACAACTGAGGTTAAAAGAACTTCACACGTAGTTATAAATATACACATTAATAAAATGTGAAAACATCGTTTCATCCTTATATAAGCTACTTTGAATTTGTTACTTTACATAGCCTTGTTTAGGAAAAATCAGGATATATATTTTTTGCACAAAGACTTTAATGTCTTTTCCTTTGCTATTTCAAATTTGTTAATGATAAATGTGAGATAACAATATATTACAAAAGGTAAATTTATAACACAAATAAAAGATCTTCTAAAAATTTTTTTTAAGTTCAAGTCCTTCCTTTTAGGCACAAATGATTTAATTTATATTTAAATGATAGGCTAACAGAATTTTAGATTGAGAGGAACCTTCCTTTGGAGATTATCGTGATACAAAAAACCCTTTATTTTACAGAAGGAAACAAGTTCCAAAAGTGGGGTTTAGCAACGTAAAGCCTATGGGCAAAATCTGCTTATCATTTGTTTTGGTAAATAATGTCTTATGAGAACACAACCATGCTTGTTTATTTACAAACTGTCTATGGCAGCTTTCACACTACAGGACACAGTTGAGTAGTTGTGCTGGAGGCTGTATAGGGATTGGTAACAGGTAGGTATCACCAAAAGGAATTCAGGTAGTGCATTTTAAATAAGGTGTTATGTATACACATATTCATGTATAAAATTAAAATATTAAAATACTATGCCCATAAAATTAAATAAAAGCATATAAAAATTAAAAATATACTGAATACAGAATATACCACAGAAACATATAACTTTTCTAATGATTAAGAGTATTTAGCAATATAGGAAAAATTTGAAATGTTTTTTATTTGAAAGAGATTGAAAATTAAGAAACAGAAAAGATTAATTAGGGAATAAAGTTTTGTAACAGTATTCAAATTGCTTGCCTTCTATTTTCACGGCTGTTACTGAAAAGTTTTATCATGTCAGATAAAAATAAACGACGAACTTCCATAAGTTCTGCACTTGGTGTAGAGTTTTTTAACAAAGTTGCCACCACCTTAAGAATCACTGCAAACAAACAGAAAACTTGAATTACAGATTTATAACTGAATAATACCTTCAACTCAAAAAGGATTTACTGATTTTTCAATTAAATACTTAGCACTGTGATAGGTGAGTTGTAACTGTCATGAACTGGGCAAACACTGTAATGATTTAAGCATTCAGAAGTTCTGGTTTAGTCTCACAAGCTGCCATGTTACTACTCCATCACAATAAAAAAACGGCTCACTTGGATTCTGAATTTTCACTGTAGAATCTGGCTCTGGATGTGGTTTGTGTACAACTTGTGTACACACTTGCTCTGTCAAGATCTGAAAAACAAAGAATTTGAACTTCATTTAGAAAATTAAATCATAATTGTAAAATATAAAGAATCTGCAAAAAAATGTCAATTTTGTTGAAATCAAAAGAACCATCTCTTCCAAAGGGTCTTTCTAATGAATTCCACATACTTCTAAACTCTTAACTCCGTATTTCTCAAATTTTGTTTATTATGGATAAAGACAAAACCAGGATCAATATCTATAGAAGAAAAGATTAATTAGGAAATACATGAATTTATTGTTTGAAATAAGCTTTCAATGAACATCTTTAATATACCTATGTTGTGAGTTGTAAACATTTTGGATCAATATCTATAGAAGAAAAGATTAATTAGGAAATACATGAATTTATTGTTTGAAATAACCTTTCAATGAACATCTTTAATATACCTATGTTGTGAGTTGTAAACATCTGATTCTTTGTGTCATCATTAATTTAAAAAAAATAGAAAATAAGTGAATAAGAAAATAATGTCTGAGCTTGGGTTCCTACCTCAATCAAAATAAAGCGACGAGGGAAAATTTTTCTTAAAAATGTGGCTCATTGTCATTTACTAATGAGTTATTGTAAAACTCACTTACAAATAACAAAAAATGAAAACAGTTGACCAAATAAAGGAAAGAGGGAGTTCTAAAACATCTTTAACTCTTCCACTAAAACAAAGACTTTATGAGTGCAGGATTTCATACATTTTCTTTTTAGTGATTAACAACAGTGCCTGACACACTACCAATACTCAATAAATATTTGTTAAATGAAAGAATGGATAACTGAATTATATATGAGGGTACTTCAAAAGATTCATGGAAAAACAGAATTAAAAGATAATATGAATCCATAAACTTTTTGAAGTACCCTCATACATATGTATAATGCATGAATGACTGTTCACTGTATTTTTGCCTGTGTTTACCTCCGTTGTAACTCATATATAAACATCCCAGGGAGGCTATATTTAATAAAGACATCATTTTATAAAGTGATTTAATTTCCTGTTTAGCTTTAACATGTTAAGTTCTGAATGAAAAGCTCAACTTAAGTGAGGTAATAAAAAATTCTGGCAGGACTATGAACAGTTGAGAGACTAATTATACATAGCTAGGTCATAGAAGTTGGGGATAGAGAAAGTAAATTAAGGAAAAGGGATGGTCCCTTCTGATTAGAAAAAGATCATGACATCTTTTTCTAAAAAAATAATGTGTCACTCTTCTTCCCTCTCTACTCAGACTAAGAAAAAGGTAGGAAATTCACATAGGTATATTAGGAATGTACATCAAACAGGTATTGACTTGAAATAAAAACTAACCTGTTATTTAAATGATAAAAACAGAGCATAATGGCCCCTGTTCTCCCCATTCCCATGCTTGCTGAAAATAAATACTTTGTTGTTAAAACTAAGTACTGCCTCAGGATTTTCTAAACAGAGCACTCCAGACATGCACTCCTAATCAAACGGAGCTATCACACTGGACAAAATTTCTTTGAAAACCATTTACCGAAGGACAATCAATTTGTGGTTGGTATATTATCTACAAGGAGTTTTCACACCAATCTGCCCAAATGGCTAGTACCTACAGTCCAGTGGGTAAGATCCCAGAAAATTCTGGTTATTTGAATAAGGAATGCAAAATAACTTCAGACAAGCTAGGAGAAAACCAGGCCATATTCTTCCATAATAGAGACTAGTAAAACTTTCTCAACCAAAAGAGAAAAAATGTTGAACGGGAAACATAATTGACCTCAAAGCATCACCAATTTTTATACTGTTGTCTTTTTATCATCTAACAATGAAGGTAATAATTGCCTTGCCTATCTAATAAAACTGCTAAGAAGATTAAATAAGGCTCTATATGTGAAAGTGCTTTGAAAACTATAACATATTCAAATATAAGCAGTCTTTTAAATTACAAAAATACATTTAGAAACTCAATTCAGCATGTATTTATTAAGATCCAGTTATGTGTCCACACTATGCTAAATGCTGAGATAGGAAATTAGTTGCTAGGCAGAACTATATTTCTAACACCAATTCACTAAATTATTATTCTGGAGACAAGCATTAATGCATGCTCCTATTCAGTAATATAACATGGTCACTGTCATTAAGAACCTATGTGAGTCTAAAGAGGGGAGAAGAGAATAATGAGATATAAATAAGAAGAGATTAATGTAGATATAAACATTTTAATGAAAGGATAGGCCCTAAAGGTTTGACTGGACTTGGTAAGAGATATACAGAGGAAGAAACCTCCACCACGCACCAAAAGAAAATACTTTGGAAGGTTTCATGTCCACATATGGACATGAAATCCAATGTGCATTAACACTTACAGCACATTTTGATTCACACTAGCCACATTTATGGTTCAACAGCCATATGTGAGTAGCAGCTATCATATTAGAGCTATCATGTTAGACAGGGTAGGGAAACAACAATGAATTATAAGCATAGAGGTCCCTAACTTGATAAATATGCTATTTATAGACACAGACTTGAGTCCAGCCTTATACATTAACATTTTATTTTATAAATGGAATTATTTTGTAATTCATATGTTACAAAAAAAAAAACAAAAAAAAAAAACCACTTAAGCCTAAGTATTTAGGCTTAAGCAGAGGCTATTGCAGTTTTCCTTTCTGAGACACCCACTACCCCTCAGCCTCAACGTGAATAAATCCATTTCGGGTCAGTAAGCTCAACTTTTTGAGAGAGGAGTGGTGCTCAAGTTTTTGAGACAGGAATGGTAAAAGTGGCAAACTACTGATGCCACTGTTACATCTAAATGCCACTGTAGGTATCCGAGTAAGAGAATCTTTATAGATTTGGACAAGCTACTTAACTTTTTGACTCTTAGTTTCTTTACCTGTGAGACAAATGTTTATATAAGGTGTTATCTAACATACTGTCCACCTCTGAGCTTAAACAATTTTGAGAAAAGAGTTTAATAGTTATAGTTTCAAAGTTGACTAACTCGTTGTAAAATAACTTGTGAAATGAAATAGTTCTACCCTTACAGAAAGAGTTAAAGTAACTAAAACATATATGTTTTCTTTTAAATCAATTAATTATTTCTATAAGAAACTGAGCTCTTCAGGTTATAAGATTCTACTCCTGGCTACCTCTGTCTATTAGACATTTAAGTGAACTAAGGAAATAGTTGCTTTGTCTTCAGAAGAAATATTCTAAAACCTAACAAATCATTGTTAAATGTATTAGGGACTGCTACAGATCATTAACAAGACAAACGTAATTATTCATAATTTAGAGATGGAGTAACAAAGCAAAACTAATGCAAATAAAATTAAGGATACAAATTTTACAAATATTGCAATTTCAAAAAAAATATGTATACAAGAAATAGCTTTGAGTAATTTCAAGAGAGGTCCATTAAAGCCAACTCCCTTTTTAGGATATAACCTATATAATAATTTCACCTTAGAAAGTTAGCAGATAGGAATGTTTTATTAATTTTTTTGGTTTTTAGGATAATTAAGATAAATTTTTACATCTTCATCACTTGTACGATATTATCTGACATATACTGCTAAAAAGTCTAATTGATTTTATGCTTTAATATTTATTATTTACTATATTTTAGTTAAAATACTTAAGAATTTTAAAGATCACTACAACATAGTCTTTACCCTAACAGAACTTCAAACCATTTTGAAGATAACATGGAATGGATTCTTTTCTATTCTATTCTAAAATATCATTATCAACACCATAGGTTTGACACAGTTCTTTATTATTTCTGCACTTGATATTATACCTTCTTAGAGTTGTAGTGATATTTATTTTGATACATTGCTGAGGCCAAGATAATTTGCCCAAACCAACAAAAGAAAATGAAGATTAAAATAAGGTTTCAAACTCTAGATTATCAACCAACTGATTCTTGCTAAGAATGCAGAACCTGACTGATGCTCATAAGGTGAATTAACCCTGAGCTGGGGGGTCTTGAGACTGTTTTCTTTTTTAAAATTTCATTTATTATATTAACAAAAATTTAAGTTGATCCTTATCACAAGTTTTAATTTTTTGCAACCAGATGTCACCTGCCAAATTGACGCAATCTTTAAACTTTGGAGATCCAGTGACCTGTCATTCTGATAATACAATTTGGTTTGTTAGTAGTATTTAAAGCTTATGCTGAAGACCCTTTCTACTATTTTGTGTGATCAACAGTACTAACCAATCATTTGTCATCTTTCTTTTTAGATTTTTTGAACACTTATATTAACTTTCCTTTTTAGAATATAAGTTCATTATGAACTTAGAGTCCCTCAAAATTTATTTCAATTAATCATGATGATTATTCTTTTTAAAAAACACATACAAGTGTACTTTAAAAAGTTCATTAAAAAGATTCATATTAGGGCCGGCCCAGTGGCGCACTTGGTAGAGTGCGGCGCTTGGGAGTGTGGTGGCGCTCCCGCCGAGGGTTCGGATCCCATATAGAGACCGGTCCGCTCACTGGTTGAGCGCGGTGCGGGCGCGACACCGAGAGTTGCGATCCCGTTGCCAGTCATGAAAAAAGAGAAAAAGGAAAAAAAAAAAAGATTCATATTAGGGCCGGCCCAGTGGCGCACTTGGTAGAGTGCGGCGCTTGGGAGTGTGGGGGCGCTCCCGCCGAGGGTTCGGATCCCATATAGAGACCGGTCCGCTCACTGGTTGAGCGCGGTGCGGGCGCGACACCGAGAGTTGCGATCCCGTTGCCAGTCATGAAAAAAGAGAAAAAGGAAAAAAAAAAAAGATTCATATTATCTTTTAATTCTATTTTTCTGATAACTTTTGAAGTACACTTTTGAAGTACTGGCCAGGTAGAGGCCCTGTAAGTTGGTTCCTTCAACATTTCAGGACCTCTGCAACATCCAATATCAGAGGATCCAAACTTACCCTGACTTTCCCTCACCATAAAACATAGAGTCAGCAAAAATTTGGCTTTGTTTTGTGTAGAATATCATCAGAGACCAAAATCTGGGTCTAGGAGCACATAGCAGTACAGGTGGTAGGTTAAAATGCTGTGGCACTTGTTGTTGAGTCACTTTTAAGAAAGACTAATAGAGATGCATGTGTGTATATATACATGTTACATTTACTATTTTAAGGTCAGGAGTAGACAATCATTTTTCAAATTCAACATACACTATTATGCCATACTTTTATTTTACTATAAGGTTTCATTGACTATACAGACTTTCTATTCTATTGTCAGAAATAAGTCAAAACAAGCAGAAGGTCAGAAATTCACATAGGTAAAACGATTAAAAAATTTACATAGGCCTCAATGACCAAAGTAATTAGCAGATAAAAAAAATCAAGATACACGTACAACTTAATCAGTATTAGACACTACCATTCAGAAGACTGGTCTAATACCATAGCAAAGTATTGATTCAGAGGAGGACTTGAATGCTACTGGCTGAAAATAGATTCTGACAATTTCGCCTATGCATATGTGTTATGAAACCTGCCTATTTTATGACTGTTTACTAGTGGTGTGACATAGAGTAAGTTATTTAGCCTGTGAGTCTCAGTTTGTCTGTTTTAAAAGGCAATAAAAATACCAGCAGCATAGGGTAGTTGTAAGATCTGAGATAATGTATATAAAGTACTTCCCAAAGTGACTGTCACAAGAATAGCCCAATAAAAGACAGTTACTATTACTAGGGGAATATAATATCAGAATTAAGAAAGAAAATAACCTCACCGTACTCTGCATAGGGTAGGCCATTCTATTATCCAATTTTGTATGCCAAATATTAGAAAAATATCAAAAAAATACTATAATTCAAAAAGACATTGCTCTGGAGAACAGTCTACAAATCATGTGATTTGAGGTGTGATTGACACAAAGTGGGAATATTAAGCTTAGAAATGAAATAATCAGAGTAGCCAAAAGGTTTCTTCATTTATATAAAGAGCAGCCACTCTTAAATCTACTGATGAAAATATAAAAAAGATGAAATAAAATAGCTAAAAGTAATGTTACAGACCAGGGGTTGGAAAACTATGGCCTGTGGGCCAAATCTGGCCTACCACCCATTTTTGTAATATAGTTTTACTGGAACACATTTGTTTCTTACTGACTATGGCTCCTTCTTAGCTACAACTGTAGAGGTAAGTAGTTGTAACAGACACTGTATAGCTCACAAAGCCTAAAATATTTACTATCTGTCTCTTTACCAGAACAGTTTGCTCACCCAAGCTATAGATGAATATTTTGTAATAAAAATATTCGCAATATATTGTTAAGTAGAAAAAACAGAATACAAAACTATGGGTAAGATGATATTTTAGAAGAGGTGTGTGGAGGTGTGTGTATGGATGTGTTGAGAAAAAAACTTAAGTACTACTGAAAACACTACAGGTAAATTTAATTTTGGTGCTTTCTATATTTTCCAAATTTTTGTAATGAATGAACATTAATTATGATATCAAATTAAAATGTTTTTTAATAAGAACAACAACAAAGGGGAGTTACATTTCTCCATTTTGCGGTACAGCAGGGGTCAGCAAACTTCTTATAGAAAAGGTCAGATAGTAAGTGTTTTCGGATTTGTGGATCATATGATCTCTGTCATTGTAGTGTGAAGTCACCCATGGACTATACTTAAATGAATGAGCATGGGTATGTTCTAATAAAACTTTATGGACACTGAAATTTGAATTTCATATCATTTAACATATCTCAAAGTATTCTTTTTCCCCCCATCATGTAAGAACATAAAAACCATCCTGTTTGCGGGCTGTGCAAAAACTAGAACTGCAGTGTATCTGGCCCATGGCTTAGATGAAAAAAAAAAAAACGTAGTGTTAGAAAAGTTTGAATTTGTCCCCTATTAATTTAAAATTTAGTGCAATCCCATTCAGAATCTCAGCATCTGCCTTCCTCAATGTCTCTCATTTTCATTTTTGTCATTTTTGTGAAATCTGCATAATGAGATATTGTTTTATATTTTCTGACCACTGCTTTTCTGAGTTAGGAACATTACTACACATATTTAGCCTAGCACTTACAATGAGAATTCTTTTAAGTGACTTTAATGTCCTTGCATAATAGAAACAATGTCTTTCTATCTAAACCTATAACAAAATAACCAACACCCCCACTGCATTTGAAAAGTGTTAGATTAGAAATCCACTTTTCTTTTCTTGTATTGACCCAATGGGTATACACTGGTAGTAAAAAAAAAATAGGTTTGGCAGTACTCATGGTACATAAAACACTACTGAGTTGTTGCATTGCTGTGACTCCCAGTGTGCCAAGCAGCACTGCAATGTGATGAGAGCATGACAAACATTCTTTGTTGAAACTACTTCACTCCATGGTTATGGCACAAAGCAGCCTCAGGCAATACCTAAATGAATAAGTGTGGCTCTCTTCCAATAAAACTTTTTATGGACACTCAAATTTAAATCTCATATAAATTTTACATGTCATATATTATTTTTCTTTTGTTTTTTTTTTTTTTCAATCACTTAAAAATTTAAAAACCATCCTTAGCTCACAGCCATACAAACACAGGTATTTGTGGTTTGCCAATCCCTGCACTAGAGAAAAGAACTAAGACCACTGAATTGCAGTTACAGGAAAGTAGTATTAAGGTTGGTATAAGGAAACATTCCTAACATTTTACTGTCACTTAAAAATAAAAATAGCTACTTTGTGAGGTAGTACATGTATTTAATAGAAAATACTGAACCCAAAGTTATATGGCCATCTGTTAAAAAAGTGATGAGAAATGGACTTCCAAATTGAAATGATGAGGTTTAAAGATACTTCCAGATATTGTTTTTACAAATAAATCCTACCTACATTTATTTATCCCAATATTAACTCTATATTTATCCCAATATTAACTCTAGCTTATGTTGGTGGTTGCTACATATCAGAGATAGAGAGAAGGAAAGGCAGTAGAACTAATACATACCATATAATGAATGTAGTCTATGTGAGAAAGACTGTGCAAAGCCAATCAGCCAACCCACCCATACTTAGAAAAACCCTTGGACCAACATAAAAAGATTGCCAAATAACTGTACATAGGTATGTTTCAAAATAAAATATACAAGGTAATCTTTTTTTGAATGATTCTGGCTTCAACTGGCTTTTTAGGTTAACAGACCAACTATTGATCACATAGGTTATACAGGATTTCCATTTTATAAACTTAAAATTCTCATCACACATTTTTTATTTTTACCTCATAAAGTGTGTTGTATGTGGTGACAGTCACAGTGTTTGTATGCAACATCAACCTTTCTCCAAGAAGAGTGAAAAGACTGTGGGTATGCATAATCTCAACTTTTCTCCTGGAGAGAAGGGGGGGAAAAAAACCATGAATATTCTCTGATCACATGACTTTTTAGATAAGAAAGCACAATTTATAAGGAGATACAGAATTACACACATAATGATTTTTACAAACTTCCATTCACAAAAAGAAACCATAGTTTATAACACAGCTGTCTTCTAGAGTTCCAAGATAGTAAACACTTCTCAAATAAAATATTTGTGCAAACTAAAATGAGAAATCTATGAATTATATAACATTTAATAAATTTTGACAGTTACCATCTTCAAATTTCTAATAACTATTTAGAAGTTATTTTTATGGAGTTAAAATTATTGGGTTCCTCTAACATAGGGACCACACAATTTTTAAGTCATTTCTGCTCAAATTCCAAGTATATAAATAGTCTGTAACAAATTTTAACATCAAGAATCCAAAATTATGGTTAAAAGTGAACACTGTAGCTAGATGTTGGGGTCATAAAACAAAATAACTTTACATAAGTAAAGACTCATCATTGCTTACATTTGTGGTCTACCAATGCATTAAAAAGCAAAACAAAACATCACCTTCCTACTTACTGTTGGCTGATTTAACTGTTTCCCTCCCCCCACAAACAATTATAATAGAAGGCTCTGTTAAAGGCTTCCTGCAACATTTAGCCCTAACTGGGGCATTACTACACACCTCTCATTTGTGTCACTTTCTTGGAATTTAAGATCTGGGTCTTCCTGTCTCCCACCTCTCAGTATTTCATTTCTTTCTTTGATTTTCTATTGTCTGTTTGGATTTGGCAACTATGACATAGTCTGACTACATAATCACCAAACTGTCTTCCTGGATTCACAGTTATATCACATTTCCAGTCTCTCCTACAGCTAGATGGGACCATTTAACTTAGTTCTACTCAATGAAATATGAGCATTAAAATTATGGCCTTTTTTTAGGCCTGACGTATAGAAAAAGCACTCATACACATCTTCTATGTTCTTTCTCCAAGCCAGCAACATAAGAACCATGTGATGAAGACAAGGGAGCCACAGATAGAAGATTCTTGAGTCTCTAAATCACTGATAGCAAGAGAATCACTGACTAGGGAAAACCCATTTGGATTTAAGAAAATACTATAGTAGTTTGACAAGTGACTAAAATTTCATTGTTTATCTGTACAGTAGCTATTGTTACCTTAATTAGTACAGAAATTAAATGATGAACCATTTATCTGATACCACTCACCTGGAAATCCTGTCTTCTAACATCTGCCTCCAAGCTCCATACTCCACAACAAAAGACACAGGACAGCTGGTCCCCCTCACTCAATCCTCCTTAGGGAGGATACAGCAAAATTATCTAAACCCAAGAGGAAGCTAGGGCATTTGTCCAATGGATTTGTTTGTAAGATGCTTAAATAAGACTAAGAAAGATCATCTGGCCATTAAAAAAGAACAACAAAAAATAAAAAAACAGGACAAATGGATATTATGGGATTATGGAGGGAAAGGCTTAAGTCTCTTCCAACTCAAGATACATCCATTAAAAGGAGACCTGACATTTTCATTTGCTCCCAATCAGGAAATAACAAATGCCAAAGTATTGCCTTTGATATATCTCTCTGCTACAAGGAGCTGGTACCTATATTCAAATTAGGCTATCTGAACCTTAGAATAATCTCTTAACTGTGCCAGTACAACTTCAGCTACCAAAGAAATTCATACCCTCTTGATCATATCCTCCAATATAAATGTTCATACTGATGCTTAATTCTACATATGGGGGGAACTTGAAGATAGTGTGCATACACCAGGGAAGAAATGGATGAGCTTTCTCCTGTGGTTTGCTTTAAAACAATATTTACCAATAAACTTTGCTGCACAGCAGTTAAGAGATAACGAAAAATGACATCCATCATCTCAGGCAGGGAATGGGTGCACTTGCCCTGCACATGACATCATAATGTTTCCCACAAGACCTCTGATGAAAAACCTAGCTCTATGGATTCTGTTTAGGAAATGCCTCAGTAGGACATTCACTGGAGAAACTAACATTTTAAACCTGTTTACCTTTAAGACCTAGATAGACTTCAGCCTTTAGTGCTTATGTGCTTTTACCTCGAGTTTTACAGGATTTCTGCCCACTTGGATCAAGAATATAATCTTTCTCTTTTTTTAAAGAATAACATTTTACTCATACAAATTACAGATTTTTTAGCTTACTAAACACTACACTGAAACATATTCTAATTCCTTCTTCACAAAACAAAGAAGGTTCTTTGGTGGATGGTCAAAGAAATATTTCTTATAACAAATTCAAAAAATATGCCACAACAGTGAAAACAAAAAAAAAAAAAAGGAAAGATAAAGAAAACTCCTAATTCCACAATCCAGACATAATCATAATATCAGCTTATATTCTTCTAGATAAATAGCTTTGCTATATATTTGATAGATACAAATAATATCAGTACAATGGAAATTATTCTATAAGATAATTTGAGTGTATACATTTGAAATTGTTCTGCCTTCCTAGTGAATTATACCTTTTTCGTTATATGCTGCCCTCTTTATCCTCATTAATTTTTTTGGCATAAAGTTTATGTTGGTTTATTTAAGTTTTACTAGCTTTTATCATTTTATTTATTTATTTATTTATTTTTCCTTTTTTGTCTTTTTTACTGACCGGTAACGGGATCGCAACTCTCGGTGTCACGCCCGTACCAGGGACCGGCAACGGGATCACAATCCTCGGTGTTGCGCCCGCACCGCGCTCAGCCAGTGAGCGGGAACCGGTCTCCACATGGGATCCGAACCCTCGGCGGGAGCACCACCGCGCTCCCAAGCAGCACACTCTCCAGTGCGCCACCGGGCCGGCCCATTATTTTTAAAATAAGTAGTAACTTCACCTAGATAAAAAATAATGATGACATAAAAAGACAGAGAGATTTCACACCTAACTCGTGTCCCTCCCGCCTCATTCACAGCAAGTCCCTCCCCCCATAAACATTTTTCTTGATTTCTCATCTCCTTATCAACCTCTCCCTTCTCTTTAACACACTTTATTTTTTAGAACAGTTTTACGTTCACGTAAAATTAAGCAGAAAAGTCCAGAGTTCCATATAACCCCTCCCCCCACATACACACAGCCTTCCCCACTATTAACATCCCCCACCAGAGTGGTACAAATGTTATAATTGCTTGCCAACTTTTTTAATGCAAATAAAAATATCTTTTTTACCTTCCTTAAAAAGGCAGCATATCTTTTTACATATATCACTGCTGTAGTCGTCTGAGATGGCAGCTTTATTATACACTAAAATCCTACAAGTACTTGGGTCAATCTACTGACTTTCAATTTCATTCTTCTGCTCTGTCTATTCATAAATAAGTACTACATCGTTTTATTTATTAGAATATTATATTTGATTTAATATTGTAGGGTTAGCTTCCCCTTGTTCTCTTTGTCTTTGTTCTTCTTCAGTTTCACTTCACAGTGACATTTTTTGCTAATTTTTCCTTCTCAGACCTCATTTTCCTTCCAAAATCTGAGAAATCTGGCCTTTCATCAAATCTGTAAAATTGTTCAGTAATTTTCTTTGAATATTGCTTCTTCTCCATTTTCTCTTCCCTTTTTCTGTAACCCTCATTAGCCATATTTGAAGCCTTTCATTCTTTCTCTGTATCTCGTAACCTCCCCTTTCATTTGTCATCTTGTCTCTTGATGCTGCATTCTAGGTAATTTCTTCATTTATATCTTCCAGTTCACCAATTCTTTCTGAAGTTTTATCTAACCTTTCTAACATGTCCATGCAGTTGTGAATTCAAATTGCTACTTTTTCATTTACAAAAGTTACTTAGGGTTTTTATTTTTATTTATTTATTTTAACAGCATGGCTTGTTTTAAAATTGCCTTGTTTCTTAAGTCTTGTTTCTCTTTCTTTTTGGAATATGAGAATTTCCCTTACTTTTGTTTGCTCAGCTATACATTTAAAAGGATTTTTGACATATTGTATCCAATACTGCAAAGTTTTTAGTAGTACAAAAACTATTTTTCATCATTTTTCTCCCTCAAGCACTCTTATTAGTCATATGTTAAATTTCCTATTTTCTATGGCTTTATTCTCTTCTCTTACTTTAAATTTTTGATCCATGCTTTAAGATCTTCCAGTCTACTAATTTGGGTGAAATGGGAAAGAAAATCAATAGCTGAAGAGGCAGAATGTCACCTTTGGTGCTCTGCTTGAATCTCAAATGCTCTTTGTAAAAATAAAATTCAAATGTTCCACCACATCCTTCACCATAGTTCCATTTCATTAGGTGTGTAGTTTGATGATTCTCTTTTATTTCCGGTCTGGCTTATAGTCACCTTTAGGTTAGTTGTTATTTTTCATTATTTACAGAGGCAAGATCAGATCTCATGGCTGTGAATTTAAATGACAGGATCTCTGCAGGTGTTGTAAGGCAAAGCATCCTCTAAACTCACTTATTTCCGGTCTGGCTTATAGTCACCTTTAGGTTAGTTGTTATTTTTCATTATTTACAGAGTCAAGATCAGATCTCATGGCTGTGAATTTAAATGACAGGATCTCTGCAGGTGTTGTAAGGCAAAGCATCCTCTAAACTCACTGACCTGTAGTACAAAACTTGGCAAGCTGTAAGTCCTGGTACATGGGCTGCTGAAGCCAGCATTCTAGCATTCTAATCTCCCTGCACACTCACAAGTTTAAGAACAGGAAAATTTATCCCACCATTTCAGGTACCTCTTGACCTTCTGGTAGTCACTTACATAGAAGTCAATTTTAATATACCTCTGAGGTAGGGGTGGGGCTGGGGGAAGAGGAAAGCAGATGAGGGCAGGGATCTTTGAGGGCAAAGCACCTCTCAAGATCTGCTGCTTTTCAGTCTTTACCACAGGGCTCTAACAAGCAGCTTCAGCTGCTTGTCCCCATGTGAAAGAAATCCCATTAGCAGTTCTCTTGTTTTCTCTACTGGTACCCCAAAGAACACAAAGACTCATTTGTACCCA